CACTCTATTATGTTCCCACAATAATGAAATTGCTTAATGACACATTTCTCAGAATGTAGCCCCATTGTTAAGCAATGCATGACTATATAGTCTAACAGACTATTGTTTGTGTGTATATATGTATAGATAGGCAGATGTTTTTGATTTTGTTTGTATGTCCTACTATTTTACAGAATTTTCTTACTGTTTATATTAGTTTATGATTGATTCTTTTGGGTTATTTAGGTATCCATTTATATCACCTGTGAATACAGAAAGTATTATTTCTTCATCTCCCATCTATTTGACTAAATCTTTTTCTCTTTTCTGTTACGTAGCTGTGCTTTATTCATTTCACAATAACATATGTGATATGTCCCCGTTCAGTAAGTTGCCGGCTGGCTGATATATGAGGGCTGTCCAGAAATTCTCCAGCCATGTAATATGTGCTCATTATATTGACAATGGCTGGATACTTTCTGGACAACCCTTGTGTGTGTGTGTGTGTGTGTGTGTGTGTGTGTGTGTGTGTGTGTGTGTATGTATAATGTTAAGGAAATATTCACCAATTTGTATTTTATTGAGTTTTATTAGGAATGGATGTTGAATATTGTTAAATGACCTTTCATCATCTATGGAGAGGAATAAATGAGTTTTTTCCTTAGATTTATTAATATAGTGAATTATATTAACGGATTTTCTTATACTGAACAATCCTTGCATTCCTGAAATACACACCACTTGGTTATGCTTGATTCTGTTAGCTAAAGTTTTATTTCATATTTTTACATTGCTATTTAGAAGTGATATTGGTCTGTATTTCTTTGTGTAGTCTTTATCAGATTTAAGTATCGTTGTTATTTTGCTCCCTGAACATGAATTTGGAAAATTATCCTTTGTTTCTATGATTTCAAACAGTTTAAGTAGTTTGGGGATTTTCTCATTTGTATCCATGGATTTTAATTTATAGAGGTGGCTATGTGACAACACAAAGAGGTCAATGCCATTGAAAGAATTATTTATTACTTGTATTCCTGAGATAAGGGGGCACACCACACCTCGTAGGTCTACAGAGGAAGCACCAAATTTGGTCAGGAGGCAGAAGCAGGAGCTAAAGGAGAGCCTATACCAGAGCCTTTATTGGAGTTTTCACAGGAAAGGAAAGGCAAGGTAGAGTAAGCAGTTTATATTGACTAGGTTGAATAATTTTGGCGGGCTTTGCAGCATGGGAACTATCCCTTGTTGTCTGATACATGGTCCTGGGTTGATTTAGAGTGGGGAAATTATTGGCTTGATGTGCAAAAAAATCACTTTACAATTGGCTTACATACAAGAAATGTGCTCCCAAGTAAGTTTACCACCTTTAGAAATCAGCTGGCCCTGGGAGAGGTAGTCACTATCTGGATCTGTAATCATGTCCTCCCACTTCCCTCCCAAGGTATCAAAACATCCTAAGATGCAGAAAATAAAAAACATGATTAATACAGGAGTTATCTGGTTTTTGAAGGTGTGGTGGAATTACTCATTGTACTGGTGCTTTTTGGTGAGATACCTTTGATAACTTTCTCTATTTTTGTCTGTAGATTTTGGTTTTGTTTAAACTTTTTATTCCTACTAGAGTCAAATTTAATACATTTTCATATATTACTATAATTCTATGTTTAGTATATTTTCCTAGAAAAAAGCTATGAAAATTAAATAACTTGTTTTTGTATTTGTTGGTCCACTTTTTTTCCTAACTCATTAACACACTTTCTCCTTTCTTTTGTTTTATTTCTTTTTCTAATCCTTTGAGTTGGATGTTTATTTAATTTTATTCTTTTTGTTTATATTTATATAAATACTAAAGGGTCTGAATTTTCCAATTACTATTTTAGCTGCATTCCTTATATTCTGACTTGTAGTGCTTTTATTTTTTTTAAAGAAATTCTGTGATTTTATTAGTATTTCCCCTGTGACCCAAGAGTTTTCTTTTTTTTAAAATTTATAGGTGAAATGGAGTTTTTGTTTTAGTTAATTCTAGTTTTATTGCATTGTGATTGTATAATTTTATGTATTTTCCTTTATGGCTCTTTTCTTCATGACTTAATACATGTGTTACTGAGCAATCAATAGTCTCCCTGCCCAGTGTGTATAGGAGCCAATATCATGCATGGCCTTTGAGAAAAGAAAAGCTTTATTGCAAGTTGACTGGCCAGAAGATGGGAGGAAATGCTCAAATCTGTCTTCCCAAGTTGGGAGCTGGGTCAGGTTTTATAAGTATAGGTAATGAGGTGTGATCTGATTGGATCTTACAGTTAGGTGATGCCAGGAGGCGTGTTCTGACTGGATCATGCCAAGAGGTAATGCCATGGCTCAATCTGTTCGGATCCTGGATCCCACCATGTAGTGTCCTCTTTTTAATTCAGTCCTTGTTCCTGGGTCCAGGAACTTAGGTACTAACTGTGGTTGCATGCTTGGTTCCTCTGGGCATGCTCTGGTTACATGACCTTCAACCTGGGGGTCCATGGCGACTAAAGAACAGCTCGCCACTTTAGTCTGGTGCAGTTACATGTGTATGTGATAATTTTTGTGAATATTTCATTTGCACTTGAAAAGCAGCTGTACTATTATGCAAAGTTCATCTTTGAGGTAAACCTTATGTTCTTTAGGGCATCTGTAACCTTACTTTTCACTCATTTAATTGAGAGTGAGGTGTTAGTTGTGTCTGTTTCTCCATACATCTCATGGAATTTCTACTTTGAAGATGGCTACTCTGATAAATAGTATGTAAATATTCATAACTGTTATATCTTCATTGAGAATCGTGGCCTTTAGCATTTTAAGGTATCCCTTTTTATTGATTTAATTCTTTTTATTTACTCCCAGACTCTTCACCAACATTTTCCAATCATCTCATGGATGAAGTTCACCTTCCAGTAGATTCTTTTAAAATAGCTTGCAATTAGGATTCCCTGAGTTCTTGCATATTAAAAACTGGCTTTCTATAGTTTTGTTATAAAGTACACAGCTTTATTAGATTTAAAATCCTTGACTCACACCTTCTTTCCTTCAGTTTCTGAAAAAAATGTTACTCTACTTAGTCTTATATTGTGTCCTGCTCCCTTCTCTCCTCCCCCACCCTTTTCCCTTTGCTCTCTGCTAAACTGAGAATCAGTTACAAAAATCGCAAGACCCTTATTCCTAAATACTTCAATGTGTATCACCTAAGAACATTCTTCTACATAACCACAAAACAACTATCACACTAAAGAAATTAAACATCAACATAATGCTATTAATATGCAGTTCATAATCAAATTTCCCCAATTTTTACAATAGTGTCTTTTATAAGCTGGATTTTGTTTTCAGTCCAGCATTGCATCAGGGATAACTCATTGCACTTAGTTGTTAAGCCTTTTTGGTTTCCTTTAATCTATAAAGGAAACAATACACCTTTTTCTTAGTTTCTTTTCGTATTTTATGACATGGCCACTTTTTTAAAGTCAAAGTTTTCTAACTGTCTTTCAATTTGGATCAGTATTTTTTTTTTTTGTGATTAGATTCATGTTAAGCATATCATTAGTAAGGGTATTACATAGGTGATGTGTCCTTCTCAGTGTAATATATCAGGAGATACTTAAGTATATGGGCTTAAAATAATACATCTTGAAAAATCTGCATTTTAATTGTATAAGAATTAGGACAGGTAGGAATGATGTCCTGATGAATAGGAACAATTTCCAAGTGTTAAGAAAAAAAAACCCACTGTAATGTTCAGACTTTTCTTCTCTTTGAACCTATATCTTTATGGTGTGATACCATTTTTACCTCAACTAGATTTGTATGCCCTTCTCTCAGAACAAATAAAAAGAAAACTATCTCTTAATACATTTACAACCTTTGTCATTAAACTGAGAGGGACTACAAAAACAACTGTTGGGTTTTCTGTCTACTGCCAGCAAAGCTGGCTCAAAGTTAACTATGACTACTATTCTTGATGCTGTCACTCAGTAGTGGAGTTATCCAAGCTTTGCTGGAGGAACTTATGTTTTATTATAGTTAAGAATGAAGTTCATTAAAATACATACAAACATGTCCATACTCCTGTTAGGTTTGAGTTAGTGTCGTGTTCCCTGGTTCTTGGTTCCCAGTACCGAAGAATGGTTACTGGTACCAAGTTGACAGAATGAATAAGCAAGCCAAACAGCAAGATGTATTAAAGCATAGTACATTCCAGAGTGGGAATGGGTCTATCTCCGCAAATAGGGAAGACCCTGGGTTTTTTTTTTTTATTTCAGCATATTATGGGGGTACAGATGTTTAGGTTACGTACGTTGCCCTTGCCCCCCCCAAGTCCGAGTTTCAAATATGTCCATTCTTCTGGTGGTGACCCTGGGTTTTTAACACGTTTCTACTTTTATGTCTACATCTTATGATATGCTAAATGGTGGGCACAATATTCATTTTGATTCAGGCAAGAGGGGTGGAGGTTTCCTGGACCCGGGGAACCCTCCCTTAACTTGTCCTTATAGGGTAACTTCCAGGAGCTGCCATGACATTTATAAACTGTCATGGCGTTGGTGGGTGTGATTTTTACTATGTTAATGAGGGTAGTTTATCTAAGGTCGCTGCCAGCTCATCTGTGAGCATTCCCCAAAACGTCTGTTTCTGCAGTTGGGCCATTTCTTGGGTTTGTGGTTTTCTTAGCCTCCTCTAATTGGCCAGCAACAGTATCTCTACCAAATTCTTGGGCCTTGCCTCCACACCTGTTTCCCCTTCCTCCTGGTCCCTAACTAACAACTCCTGAAAAACATGTTTTTTATGTGCTAAACATAAACTTAGGATCATTCTTCATTGTATAGTAATTTTTAAAAATTTGAAAGTGCTACAGAGTGTTCAAACTTACCTCTATTTGACATTTTCAAAATAAGAATTTTAATTTGAAAGTTCCTCATGTTGATAATAAAAGCTAATGTTTTTCCATTTTATTTTATATTCATACACAGTATTTTAAAATATAACTTTATTTTGACTTGTAGTGTTTGCAGAGAATATTTCCAAAATGGTGGGAAGAGAAAAGCACTTGAGAAAGATGAAAAAAGAGCTGTACTCGCCACTAAGACCACTCCTGCCTTAAATATACATGAGTCTTCTAAACTTGAAGGTCATTTAACCAACCTCAGCTTTACAAACCCTGAATTTATAACTGAGTAAGTATATTTGTTCTACTCTGATTATTAACATTATCCTGGCTAGCTATGTTAATATTAAGTAGTGTAATGGTTTATACCAAGTAATAGGCAGTTTACTTGCTCCTCCAGTAATATGATAGGCTAAGAAATGCAGATTTATAGTATTATTAGGGAGAAAACCAACAAAATTTTAAGAGCTATCTGGAAAATTAGTGGTTCTGTAGCATGTGTTGCTCTCACTAAA